CGGCCAAAATCTGATCGGTTTGCACCAACCAAGCGAACATCTAAAAAATTAAAAAACCTGTTAGACATTCCAGTTCAAGAAGAGTCGACCTGCGCTTATACTAGCTTTAATATTGTTGAATAAGTAATTGTTACATGCCTCTTATCGGAACGGCTGTGGTTGGTAATGCAGTAGTAGTAGATGGTGCAGCAGTGGTGGTGGTAGTTGCTGCGGTAGTGGTAGGCGGTGCAGTAGTGGTAGGCGCTGCAGTAGTGGTAGGCGCTGCAGTAGTGGTAGGCGGAACAGAAGTGGTAGGCGATGCAGCAGTAGTAGGAAGTTCAGTTGTGGTGACATTAGTGCACCAGACTCCCACATCCTTATCGTGGCTGCAATTTGCTACACTCCGCTTAAAAGATCCACAGTCTCCCAATGACATTTCGGTACCATTACACCTGAATTCAACCGAGTGAATCCTACCACTTCCCGGGATGTTGACTCCTACAGCACCAGTGTAYTTTACGAAAAGATATCCCAGCATACGACACACAACTTTAGCGTCGTCGCTGTCCCAGATATCACCACAAAGAGTACCCCAAAATCCACTGTGGTATACTTCAAGTCGACCAAAATCTGATCGATTTGCACCGACCAAACGAATTTCTAAAAGTGAAATTAAATAAAGATAAAAATATTTCGTGGGAATTCTATGAAGAAAGCAAGCTATTGTCTAGTTGTGTCTTYAGAGGACCTTAAGGATAAAGAAAAGTAATGTTATGTATAACAGTTATGTGTTGAGTCCTTATGCTACCAATACGAGTATCATTTTATAACCTTGTATATCCTAACCATACATKTCGGCGATCCGCTGGCTATAACAAATTTATATGATGATAAGTACCAACCTTTGGGGGAGGGAGTAGGCATGACAGTTGTTGGTGTCGGGACACTAGTAACTGGAGCTTGATTGGTACATGCCATACCAACGTCTTCTTTATGACCACAATCAGTTATACCCCAACCGTTAAAAAGACAGTCTCTCAGAGAGGTCTCGTTCCCATAACAACGGACTCCATCCATCAAAATTTTCCCTGATCCAGGCATAAGGTCCCCAAAGGAATGTGTATAATTGACGAAGGAATAGCCAAGCATACGACAAACGACTTTAGCATCGTTGATGTCCCATTGATCGTCACAGACAGTACCCCASTCTCCATTATGGTATACTTCCAGCCTTCCAGAATCTGACTGGTTAGTTCCAACTAGACGAACTGGGAAAAGGAAAATAGCAGAGCATAAGCCTTATAGTGTACTAGAGATAGAAAGACGATTTCTACTAAGCATTATGGGACACTGGATCTATAGATAAGACATCCGTTGATGCCATTTGATGCCTTTAACTAAAAAAAGATTACGAGCCTTACTATCTTATTTTAGGTTAYCACATCGTAGTGTCCCTGGTAACGATGTGATCATTTTATGTGCGCCTGCATGACATTTTGTCATATCTTTTAATGCCATATCATTATTAAACCCGACCTTTCTATGCCCATGATTCAGGCATATTTGCAGTTTTCATTAATGATTCGCAAAACCTAGATCCCTATTCGGTAATCAGTACTACTTTTAATTTCTACTACAAAGTACCTGCAAATGTCGGTGTTGTTGGCCGCGGTGGAGCCCTTGTAGACGCTGTACTTGAAGATGGCATGCAAACAACTCCAGCATCCATTCCATGTCTACAGTCATGGTTTCCCCACTCACCATGCGTACAGTCATCTATCGTGTTCTCGTCTCCTTTACAAACTACGTTACTTAACCATATCGGTCCACTACCTGAGACACAAGCACCTCCACAGTTCGGAAGTGTAGCGCCTCTGTACCCCAGCATTTTGCATACAACCGCAGCGCKTGTAAGTCCCCATTTTTTGTTGCATACAGTGCCCCATAGTCCATTGTGATAAACTTCAATTCGGCCTGCGTTGGGACGTGATCCAATTAAACGAATCTTCGTTGGAATATCTGGTTAATAAAAAGAACAAATTTAAGCTTTATATCTAAATGTGGCTTCTCACGATAATTTTGTTGCCGAAAAATGTGAAACTACTGAATAAGTGTAGACACTCTATATAGGGGAGGGGTAATATATTTCATCAACTTCGGTTAAAAAAAAAAAACAAAAACAGAACAACAACAAAAAGATTGGAAGGAAGCACGAAAAAGGGACGGAAGGAAGGAAAGAGATCGAGAGGAGGGCGGAAAGGGTGGGGGTCAAAGTTTGCATATAGAATGTACACATCACCGAGATGTAGCGAGATCGATATTTCGCTGCTTTTAGATGTATTTTACTTAGACTACTTACCTTGAATATTAGGTGTGACAATGCTTCTTGGCGCAGGAAATCCACTGATAAACGTACATCTATATCTAGTCTCAGACCGAGAGGTGACATTATAAACTACTAATCCTGCACCTTGGTCTTGTGTTAGCTGTATAAACGGTGATTGTACAACAGAATGGTAAAATCCACCAAGAGGAGCCTTGAATGCTAATGTTATCCATTCATTACTATATAGGTATCTTTCTTTGTCGATGATAATTAGAGAGAATAACTGAGCTTGTTTTTCTTCATTTTGAGTTAAAGTATAAGTCCATTGTAAAGAAATGTTTCCCCCTGTGTTTATGACTGAAGGCAGACGTTTTGTGTTCCATTCAAATCCTAAAGCTGGTGAAAAAAAATTATAATAACAAATTTCAGTTGAACAAAAACGGAGCTATCAAAGGGAGACATATACAAAAGTTATATCTTAGTTTCGCCTGGTTTTGCCCTCTCGGTAAACGAGTATGATTAGCCGTGACCATTCTACTTGGATAAATCAAGTTTCTCCWATTTGAGAAAGTTCACCCGCTTTTATTGTCATTCATTTAATGTTATCGTTATTCGTAAAAGGAAAGAGGGCAAAAGAAAGAGTGAGCTAGAGAAACGAGTGTTCGTACATCGATGAGATGAAAAGACAACGGTTCATGTGTATATTGTTTTTTAATATAAGAAAACATATATACACCTATCTAATGGCCTATCGCCAATCTCCTTTGGCGATGATAACGTTTTTTGAAATAGGAGTACTATAAAGAAGAATAAAGTGGAAGACATCCACGAACTACTTGCTGGTCAAATGGACTTTATTCTCGTAGACGTTTCGGCCTAATCGGCTTTCTTCAGTACAAAAACTATGCYATTTACAATACTAGGAGCAGTTATATAATTATTCATAGAAAGCTTCATCAGGAAAAAAATATAATTTCTAGCTGTATGATAAATGAGTTTTAAATATAGAAGTGAAATTAAAGGGATAAAAGTGTCGCTTGGTGAATGAGCAATTACGCCACAAGTCCCGTTGCAATTGGCGCCGCAACTCATAGGAAAGRAATATGTTCTGCTATTTGATATACTTGTGTAAGCGTTTTATAAGCGCTTTGGATATTTTATTTCTCGTGTTAGGAAATACTAAGTTCTGAACTTCTTGGCTTAAACCCAAAACACGACTAAAAGCACAAGTGGTTAGAAACATAAGTACTATCGCGTGATACTCGTTGACAGGCTCTCTAGGTAACTTCCTTGTGGGCTCCAAAGGGTCAATATTTATTGATGTCAACGATCAAATTATTTACCGGAAAACCAGTTACACGAAAAAAATCATTCACTAGGTAAACTTTTGGATCAAAGCCATTTTCACACGCATTAGCGAGATTATTTACCGTAAATGAATTCTTTGTCCATTAAGGGCTCGATAGAGAGGAACGTTTTTTTATAACGTTTATGTAGTCGTTTATCTTCTGTTAACATGACTGTTGACCTTCTGAACAAAGTTTAAGCGCTAATTTGCTGATATCAATTTTTGCAATATCAGATTCTCATGTAGGCATGGTCATTAATCGATAATAAATTATCAAAATCACGTGTATCGAAACTAGCTCATAGTGTTCAATCGCAAATACAATTTGGGCATCTTTTAGTCAATTATATATGAGGTTCGCTAAGTGACCGAATTATTTATATCTACATATAAGCTTAATATCACAAACCTTATAAAATTGCCTAAAATTTGTATATTTTAAAAGCTCACTATCGATGGTCAAACTAAATTCACTTTCTTACACAAATTAGTTGCATATAAAACCAATAATATCCAATTTATGATAACACAAAGTTTAAACCCTTGGTTGGAAATACACAAAGTATTTGTGCTACKCGAATCACGTTTCGCTAAGTTCGCCAGAGCATACCAAACATCTTGCTAAACTTCCGATCATGATTATCAGTTCACGTATGAACGATAAAAAAATTAGAAAATTGCTTCTGATTCTCGCCAAGGAATATAGGAATAGTCTAGGGAAATCAAAGTCGACAGCAAAGTTAATAAATTGCCTTTGTTCGTATATTTGATCTGCGAGTCTGAGAGTGAGTCATCATATATTTGACTACCTTATACTCTTACCTTTATGGTTTATTGAAATCACCAGCATCAGTAAACTGTATATTTTTGTCATTTTGTCTAGACTTCAATTTTTGTGCGGACGGAGGAAAGTACTTTTGTTGTGATTCAGGATTCTCGAGCTGTCACCGCTACCGTCGACTCTCGATTCGTCTGTGTAAATACATAACCGATCAAGAATAGAAGTCTCTAGGGGGATAGCGTTGGTACGCTTCGTTGTCATTTCCGTTATGTAGGTGACGTCATTACTTACATATTTTGACGCAGAGTGATGTTTGACGTCGCTTGGTCTTACATCCTCGCACTGACCCATGYTACTTGGTTGATTCCAAGAACAATGATGCTTATCCTAATATAGCAGCTAATACTAATGGTTATATATTTTTTCTAGATTGTACAAATTGATTGACCTGAGAGCGATAAGTACGGGGGAACCAGCGGAAACCGGTGCGGCACTCGGACTAACCCCTGAAAGTAAACATATACGGTGCTGACTTTGGCCCTAGATTTGTACCAATCGAGTCAGCTGAGGGAGTATAGATCTAAAGGTTTTTTATTGCTATTATTATTATTATTATTATTATTGTTATTATTATTATTATTATTATTATTATTATTAATGAGAAATCCCCCTTCATTTTTTTTCCCTTCAAGAATGACATTTGACGGTTAAAATAAAACTAACCCGACCAAACTATTTTGGTAGACCGGTCGCCGGATTATCTGTGTCAATATTTATGTTTGAGCTTTCATAAAGAGTACTAATTTCAGACGGTGGCTACCATTTCAATATGTAAACAAGGTAAAATACCAGTTTTGACTCACTTCCTGTCTATTTCCTCTGCTCCTTTGTAAAGCCACTCCCCGCCTTCAACCAAACACCTACGACCGCTTGACGCACGTCAGTCTCTTTGTCAAAARAAAGCTACTTCGCCTTTGCAACTATAATAAATCTATTTTTATCTTTTCCTTGAAGAAAAAGTTATGACATGCTAGTTTGTAACAATCAAGTATTATGAATAGATTTTCCCCCCTTATTTTGCCAGGATTCGAAAAGTGTCTACTTTGTCATCTCCAGAGTAACCAAGTCAAGATGTAAATAGCAGAATAAGGATAATCAGAAAACTAGAGATTTGTACTCTATAATTTTGGAAAAGTGAAAAAAATAATATATTGGCCAAAAAAATCATCTGCTACTTTGAAGTTCATGAACTTGATGGTTCACCCACACCCTTTTAAATTTATTTCTACTCCCCTCTTCTCCTAATAAAAACAAAAAAGAAAAACACCTACATTCCTATCTTTTATTTAAAAGTATGTATACTAAGYATATAAATATTTGCTTAGTTTTTGAGAAAAAAATTACGTTCTCTTATTTACAATTGTTATCATTACAAACAAAACGTCTATAATAGTATTTACTTTTTRTTGCCCAGCCTAGAAAACTGGAGTCACAACTTCATAATAGTCTACAAAATATTCAAAATTCCTATGTCCTTGTTTACTCTAGTGGTATAGAAAGAAAGTATTTTGAAAATGTTACYGACTGTGTTATTGGGGAAAACACATGCAGTACAATAGTATTGTATTGCTTAGTAAGGTAACTGATATCCATACATTGTTAAATATTTGTGGTGAGAAGATGCAGGATAAATAGTATATAAGGTACAAGAAATATTTCTATTGTTATCTTAACTATTTCAATAACATAAATGTTAAAAACGTTTTTGAAATGAAAGTGGGGGCCATTAACATCACACAACCAATATTGCTTTACTGTGACACGATTGCATAGGAGCTTTTTTTTTTTACAAAATATTTTATTTGTGTTTCACATATTTGTATCTGGAAGAACGTCGTGGGATCCATTTAGCTTGTATACCTTGGGAGATGAAGATCCTGTGTAAATGTTTTGAACTCCACTATTAATGCTCTGTAAAAGAATGAAGACACATAAAGTTGATTTTTCTGAAGACTGAAAAAACAGCATCAATGCAATATGTTATCAATATTATTTAATAATAAACTCATCACATATGCAATAAAATCACATTCATAAAAAGGAAAATACTGTATGACTGTATGACTTGCCATAGTGGCTCCTTAAAATAAAGTATTATGAAGAAGAAAGCTTTGAATAACTTAAGCTTAATTTTTTTAACTATATACTCTATAAAAATTAAGACCTACCACATGAGCTAAAGGAAGAGCTAAAACTGTCTTTATCTACACTTGACGTATCTGACAGTGTTAGTGTTAAATATATTTTTCTTTTCTTTTGATCTTTTTCATTTCACTTTTTTTTTCTTTCTTTTCCTTCATGTGAGCCTCTGTTGCATCACTTGGACTGATAGTAAAATTGATGATTATCAAATTAATCTCATCTAAAAATATATATTATTATAGTAAATTATATAGTTTCTCATTAATCCCATATAGGTAACTGCCCAATTATTATTTTCTTAACTGGACAGGTCTTGTTGATATGGGATGAATTAGGCAGCTATATAATTATTAATAGGTAATGGGATTTCGTGCTCCCCAATCAAGAAATAATTAGACTCGAAAAATTCCTCTGACTGCCAAATTGGACTCTGCCTATGGCCTCATCCAATTTTGAAAGTCCTCGGAATTTTCCTCGTCCAATTATTTCTWAATTGGACAGCATGAAGTCCTATTACATATACTAATTTTAAATGTGTAAGAAAAAATAAACCAAAATCAAACAAAAAACATTATCATTAACATCAATCTGAATCTCCATTATCATCATCATCATGATTACACCAAGAAAAAAATAAATCATATACTACTCAATACAACTAATACTTTACAGTTTACTAATATATCAAGATACTATTACCTTAGTGAAGCAGTTGATTTTGCAGGCTCAGGCTTCTTATCTAAGTATATACATATAAAATACACCCTTTGTCAGTGATTAATTTTGTTATGTATATTTGGAAGAGTTCATTATGGAGGGGGAAGAGATGAGTGAAAAGTAATCCGGGGGTAGGTGGTRGGGATTTCAGGACTTCAAACTATTCAAGAATCTCCACAACTTCTGAATTTTTTTAGCTTGTTTCAATTGAAACAACAATGTTTAACTGAGAAGAGATAACTAGCTAAAAACTAGTGTGAGGTGTGTCGGTGTATAATAAAAGGGTAAATTATGCACTGTGAAAATATAAAAAAACTTAATTACTGTCGCTTCGGATGCTAGTCCTTCATTGGACTAGCGTTGGACTAGCGTCTGAAATGACAGTAATTAAGTTTTTTATCTTTTCCAGGTGTATAATTTACCTTTTTATTATTAATGTTTAACTTAGATTCTCAAAAAAAGAAAATTAGCACACGCACACACAAATAAATAAATAAATAAATAAAATAGAGTCTTCTGTATAAAAAAGATATTTACCATCTCTCATTCTCTTGCATATGATAGAAATGACCACAACAATAATAACAGCAAGAGCTACAGCTCCAGTTATTCCTGCAATAACCTCATCTGACATTGACTGCTCAACACTTATCTTTTCTAAGCCTTCAGTATAGAAAATAAAAAAGTTGAAGATTTGAAGTTGATTATATATGTAAATGGTGTATAAAAGAGGTGTGTTTTTTAGTATCATTATAAAAAAAGGATTGTATGTTATAATATTATCTATAAAAAAACTAATTAATAAAAATGATATAATGCAAAATGTTTAAATTATTTCTTAATAAAGTTGAAATTACTAAATGCAGTAGACTCACCTTCAACTTTAATGCTAATGGTAGCATTTGGGCCATCCCCATAATAATTCCAGGGAATGCAAGTGTACTCTCCTGAATTCTGTTTATTAGCTTTATCAATAACATATCTGTGTGATGTAGAATTTTGAATGAGTTTTCCATTAAGAAAGAAGCTGTATCCTGCCTTTGGGTTGGCATGAGCTGTGCAGTTGAGWTCMAAGCCTTCTTTATTGATGGTAACAGTAGTCTTAGAGGCCAACAACTGGGTCTCTACAGGTTTGTCTGAAATATTTTAAAATGTGAATCAATTCAAGAATTAGGTCAACTACAGGGAATGGAAATTACTGAACAATACTTCAATGGCTAAACCCTACCTATTAGCTTTCACATCTTCATTTGATTCATCAAATAACTTGAAACAGCTGATCAAAGTCATGACATAGCTTATTTGCAGCAGACCATTATATTGGAACTTAGCATATCTTAGGTTTTGAGGAGGGAGGAAAACCAGAATGCCTGAAGAAAAACCCAAGATTTAGGGGGGAGGGGGGGGGAACTCACAAAATATGTGATGCAAAGTGTCTAGAAATTGGACTTTAGAACCCAAAAAGCAGGTGTGTTACCCTTATGTCACATTTGATTCCTGAACTGAGCACAAGTTGAGAGTTGATTTCTCTTTGCCGTGAGGGTTTAATATTTCCTTTGAAATTTTGATATATTTTCGTATAATTTATACTTTGTAACTTACATTGGACATTAAGCATAACCACGGATGGTGTTGTGTAGAAACTGCTTTTCACTTCACACTGGTACTGACCCTCATCATCAATACCAACATTGAACACTACCAGTGAATTGTTTCTCATACTGAATTTATTTTGGTCAGAAAAGATGATCTTTGGTGAAGAATCAAGTACATTATTTATATTTGTGATTGTAGCCAGCGCTTGCCAATTTTGAGGTGCAGGAGAGTTTGTCTGTCTGCTCCAGAGAACCACATGGAATTGTTTCATTTGTTGGGTTTCAGGGTCAGATAGTGAGAAATCGCAGGGTAATGTAGTGGTTGAACCAAGATAGGGACTAATGACATGGCTGGATTCCTGTACCTGAGACCACTGAAAGCAGTCTGAAAGTTGACAGTGACAAAYAGGAATGTATAGTTAGTCTTGTTCAAATAAAGTTTAAAATTTTTAAATGGTGAGACATAGGACTTTTATGATATTGATTCATCTAAAGTTGGTTTTGAGATACCAATATTTTTAATTCCCCTCTCTATACCCAGAATTTTAGGAATGMTTAGGATCCTAAACACCCAAAATAATAATTATTTTTAGTAAATTATTATTATTATTATTAAATTATTATTTAGGCCAGCAATTATATATCTGGAATACTGAATGCCCAAAAATTCGGCCCAAAATACATGTGACAGTCGTTAAATTTAATGATATAATAATGATTTCTCATTAATTAAGCATTTGTCTAATCTGCTATGGGAAATGATATTAATAGGCTTGGCAATTATATACAACATGCAAAATTTCACATGACACTTCAAAGGGCTTTCAAAACAGATAATCCCCCCTCTGGCCATCATCTGCTTACACCTTCGTCCTTCCATATTCTATCTATCCAAACTTTCCCCAATTCCTGCATTACGTATAAAATTAAATAAATATATAAAAATCAAAAGTAAATATTTCTGCAAGTCACTGACTATTCCCTGATTTAATCCATTTGACTTCCTTCATGAGGTAAGCTAGTACAATGCCCCACGGAATATCGACACAACCGATACTTGCCATCGACTACTCAGCATCGAACTAAGGCAACTTACTATAAATATTTTCTAAATGGAAAGTAATAGAACGAGGAAAGGAAAGGAAGCCATCAGTCGTGAAAGTTCTGGATCAGTGATACAAATTAATATAAAAGCAAATCGATAACATTCAAAATATTCAAAAATCTTAACAATATCTTCTTTTTTCTGAAAAAGGGATAAATATGCTGTATAATAATTGCATCTTAGAAGATGAATGCAGCATCAATGGCATCCATGACGGAATATTTTTACCCAAAGCAAATAATTGCTCGACTTCGTATCGTCGTAGTTCCCTGAACTTTGATTCGTTGAAAATTCTCAAAATTAATCGTTTTTAGCGAACGTTTTCAGATTTTATAATATTTAATAGCTCACCTGTACTTTGGAATATGATGAACAGCACAGAAAGGAAGGGAACGTAGATATTTAGCGCCATTTTCAGAGTAACTTTTGACCAAACTCTGTGACCTCAAATCAACACCCGAATGACAGCGCGGTTCAAGTATGTGATTTACAAGCTGTCAATCAAATAACCGGAAATAGAGCTAGCGAAGAATAGGATATAGATTGCTTAAGAGGGGAGAGAGGGGAGAGAGGGGAGAGAGGGGCGAGAGGGGGTGGATTTTTTAATATATTAGATTGGATACCGCCCTGTAATTACAGCTCAAGCGTTTCATTGTACTCAAGATACAGATACGAAAAACGAAAGTTAGACGAAAAATCCCCTATCATATGATCTACGAAGAAAAGCTCTATATTCGCGATAGTGACGTATTTCCGGGTTAGGTACAAACAACAAAAATGCTGGTATACGATGGATCACTATGAGATCTGACTGGATATAAGAAATTAAGCTTTTTTTCTTTTTTCTTTCTTTTTTTTATGTTACTAGAGTGAAATTTGGTCACCACCAGCAAACTCAGAATCCTGATCTTTAATTTGTGCTGTTCATCATATTCCAAAGTACAGGTGAGCTATTAAGCATGATAAAGTCTTAAAAGGTTTGCTGTCGTGTACGCAATAAGTAGGCATGCTGTGCAACGTGCACCAACTCGTACGCGCTTTTCTTGTTTGCATCTAGTGACTTGTTTCTTATGTTTAGCAATTCATCTCAAATGCCAAAACATATATACAACATGTATCAGTTTCTTTTTTGTTTCACAATTACTGCATGCCTGTTATGGACAACCGTAGTCTGCATCCTCATTATTTGTATTTATTTATTTCTGTGGCAATGAAATTAAACTATTTCATATACATAAAATGCACCATGCGTTTTGCAATAGTAATAGTGTAAATAAGTTCATTTTACTACGCTGTTGATAAAACTACAACCATACTAACTGTATTTTTCCTTTTTTTTTTCATTGCTTAAATAGGCTATCTGCACTAACAGGTCACGCGACACTTCCTCTCGCAAAACGAGCAGCTGTGTCAAAATGAACACCAAAAAGGTGGATTTTCAGCGCAGGATAGGGAGCTTTCTCAAAATTGTCTTCAATTCGAGGCTATAGCATAAAATTCGAAATACCAAAGAAATGCTACAACATATGGCAATGGAGTAAAAGTGATATTTTGTTTTTATTTTAGTATTAGCTTCGCATCCAAGTTTAATTGTTTTGTGTATGTGTTTTTGAGAAGGGTTCATTGACTATACGATAAGTAGAATCAAAAATAAAATCGAGTGCAATTTCAATACACTTTCCCATACAAATCTTTATGTACATGACGCCTTAAAATTATGTTAAATATTATTTTCCCGTGTGGAAAGTTATGCGCTGAAACTTCGCCTTTTCACTAATATGTAAGTGCTCTTTTCCTTTCTGGCCGTGTTCTAGTGAATTTGACACATGTTCAAAATTTAGCATGGGTAGGGTTAGATTTCGTGTTATAGCAAGGGACCTATCTATTGCCATCCTGTATTGGAAATATCATATCTCAGGAGGCACCAAGCGCTCGTACAGTGGTTCTTCTCCTGCAGTCTGCACGTTGGTTTTAACATGACTCAATGATGTATGAACACCACATTCTTCAACTATTGCATAATCATCTTCGATAGATGTGTTTCTTGCAGGGGACAGCGGTACTTCGCGTTCCGGATCAACAGCATCTATTGGGTCTCCGTATGTATTTTCGTCCATATTTTTCACTGTGAGAAAAGAAACATATGTTTATTTTAGATTAGTTTTATTTGGAAAAATAAAACAAACAAGTCCACTACAGCAACAACAAAAAATAAAGAGCAACAATTAACAGCACTGGCAGCAATGCAATTATGTACTATAACGACAACAATGACAACATCAGCATCTGCAAATCTGGGCTTAGCCACACGATCGATAAGATAAGAAAACTGACAAGAGAAAAGTAGGAAAAACTTTCAATAAATGTATATATAATAATTGTATAACTATACCTATATTTCAGTACTGGTAATTCTGAAAACACGGTGATGCTACTCAGAGAAACTTTGATTTTTTGTTTTATTTTTTTATAAGCTTCATGATTTATCTTATTGACAACCTTATTGTGTACCTTTTGAAGCTTTTATCCGCCTCCTGAAACGTACGGCAACAACGACTAATCCCACAACGAAAATGCATGCGCAGGCTATCGAAGTGATCATCGCTAATTTTAAAGCCGTTAGAGTAGTTTCATCTAAACCTGGAGAGAGATAAAGTTAACTCTGTATTGACAAACAAATTACACATTTAACAAAACAGACATGTTTCCTGTGCCAAAGTTGTATCTTCTGTATGCATTACATCCTTTGCATCAAACAGTCATGAGCTGATAATGAGGGAAATCCCCCTTTTTAAGCTTTGGAGCGAAAAACTTTAAGTTGCCGAAATATAGAAGAAAAAAAAAAAAATAGAATTTGGAAATCAAGGGAGAGGGCGGTAATTTTTTCGCTTTTCTCTATTCTAGATCTATTATAATGCATTTCTTTAGGAAAATAAAAGATCAAATGCAAGTTACATTTTTATTGATCACCTCCCTTAGCTTGCGCATCCTCGAGCTGCAAGCCGAAATATTGGCTTAGTAAAGATGGAACACTTGGTACAGTATCAGAAAAGCTCTTTGCTTCTTTAATCAACAACCTGTACAATTGCGATCAAAAGCCATCGAGTCTTTAGAAGTCAAATGAATGTGGTATACATACCTTTGTCAACTGTACTGCAGTTGTGCTTGGTCATCACTGAATGAAATTGAACAGAATAAGGGACGGACCATTAGATTTTTGAGGGCCTCATGGCTGTGCAGGAATTTTTTTGGGCATTATTTGGAAATTTTTTCTGACATTTTCTTATGCATTATTTCTTTATTTCACTCTTTAAAGCTGTGCTCGAATTTATGTTTGTTTTTTTGCCCAACAACCCCACCACCCTCAAAAATCTGATGATCCGTCCCTAAGCGAC